TGCATGTAGATAAAGAGAATATGACCTTTTCTTTCTTTCTCTCTCTTTCTCTGTCAATAGCATTTTGCATTATACCCATGTTTTCTTTTTGCTGTTTCCACTTTGTTTTTTCTATTGCGGGCACCTCGCAGTTAGATTTTGCACAGACAACAAGGCAAGGAAAGTCTGCTTGCTGGGTTTAGTCTTGGGTTGGGGGGACACGTGGTTAGTTCATGCACAAATCAACAACACGCGTTAGAAGCATCTGAGGTATCTTCTCCTGCTGTATTTGTGATTTACTGCAATACCCTTTCCTTTATACCTATCATCTTCTGATGAATTTATCGTGCCTAATTTATAACTGGGGTTGTGATTTAATTACAGGAAAAAAGACCTGGGAGTTTATCATAATTCGTCGTGCCTTTTCACCTCAGTATTTACTCAATTAAAGAGAGATTGCCATCTTAATTACTTACAAGGACAGTTCTAATTGATATGTCATTTTAAGACATGAAAAGTTATTTATGTGGGACTTTATGGAAAAGAGCACTACCTGGCAAGCAGCAGCAACAACCTACTAGAAGATAAGCTCTTAGCAAAAAAAAAGGAGGAAAAATAGAAAGAAAACCATGAAGATAAACCTGCATGTTAATTTGATATAAATGGCTGGGCAATTTTTCCATTTTATTTTATGGTAATTTGTGTTTTCTATAAAAATAGTTCACATGGTCTCCTTTTACAGCTGTAATTTATGAAAATGGCAAGCATTAAGATTGAAAATCAGAGAGACCATATAGCAAGCTAAGAATTAACAAGTTAGTAATGTCTCATAATACACGCACGTAGCGAGTGACAAGTCAAAACAGTTGACACGAGTGAAAAAATATGGCAAGATTATAATTTTGGAAATAGAGCAAGAAAACATGGAAAGCAAGGGTAGGATTAGGATTAGAAGGCAAGGTGGGGGGTGCCCATGTTATAAAAGACAAGGTGGAGTGCCCCGATCTAGTCTATGTTCATATAACATCTGAAATAAAGTTTGGTTCTTTTCGTCACTGTATTTTCTCTCTCTTTCCCTCCCTTACAACCGCAAGGACTTGGAATTTTCCGGCATTGACTCGTTTAAGGTTTCTCAGCTTACGGAGTTACAGATCGGTGAGCTAAGTGCTGTGCATGGATATTTTATTTACAATTTCTGTTTTTTTTTTTTCCTTTGACCCTCAACAACTAGAGTGGTTGCATGTCTGTTGCTGCAAATCACAAAAAGATCTCTTAAGAGATTTTATTGAAGTTTTTTTGGTACCCATAATCTTAGAAATTCAAAACTGAGTAGAATTCAGTCAATTTATGCAGATTTGGCTAATCTTTTTTTTAAAAAAAAAAACTAAATAGCTATTTATTCATTTTCTTATTGTTTATTATACTGCCATTGTTATTCATGTTTTCTATGTTTTCCAAGAAACAGATAGAAATAGCTTTTAGCCATTGAGAAATATACGGGATATGATCTCTGCATTTATAACATAGATGCAATTGCAGTTTCTCTTGACTTTATTCGAGTATAAAATGTGTTCTGGGTTTTTGGCAGGGGAGGTTCAGGCACATGAAGTAAGAAAGAGGAAGAGGGCTTGTATAAATCAATGAATTTTGGCAATTCATCGAAAATCTTAGGCACCAGAAGCAAATTAGTGTTTTCAATCGAGAGAATCACTACCCAGAGCAGAGAAGAGGAAGAAAAGCTAGATACAGTTGGCTGGTAGAATGAATCCAATGATTAATCATGGAGAGATTTCCAATCCCGCAGGATATTGATTTCTTACCAACAATGACAGAGAAGCCCATTCCAAGATCTAATGTGATGCTGACTGATGGGCAAGGGAACCAATTGGGCAGAACGAATTGGCAACTGGCCGGATTTTCCAGTGGATGTGAACAGGATGCGTCAAATTACAGCAGAGAGGCTCAACATGCTGACCAGATTGATCAACTGGTTAGAAATGGTGGGGATAATATTAGGAATGCAGGTATAGGTCATGAGGTGACAAGAATGGATAATAACACAGGCAGTCATATAGAGAGTCGGACCGCAGGTTTGAATAGCAGTTTATTAGCAAGTATCTTAGCATATCCAAATATAGCTACATTTACCTCTCCTGTCGCACCTCCTAGTGCAAGCACATGCATGGTTTGGAGTCCTTCATTTCCCAACCCGCATGCTCAAGTCAACAATTGCAGTGAACCCACTTTGCTGCTCGGAAAGCAAGCTCGCTGCTGGAATCTTTTGAGCAGCAGCTATATCTCATCCCAGACACACTGTAAGTAAACATACCTGTCCTTTAATTTTTACGACTTGTTCACAAGACTGCTGTAATGTAGGAACTGCTCGTTCCAATCCATAGGTAACAGCTAAACATAAGATGTCTGCATTTCATGTCATATGGCATTGAATCAATTTTACAGAATGTAGTTCTGAGCACAGAGATGTAATTTAGCATGTAGGTTTCCATTTATTTATCTAGATCAGAATTTGACATTTTCTATATGCTTTGGTATAAGCAAAAGAATTTAAGCATTCCACACTCCACAGATTAACTAAGTTTGTGTCTTTTACTCATTTTACAAGAATCAAAACTCACTAGGAAGATAAAAAAACAAGAGACAGGGATGAAAAAGAATCAGCTTTCATTCTGCCACTAGCTGAACTATTGTTTCAACCTCCTCTTTTGTCAAAATCTTATTCTACATTCTTAAGAATATTACTGCCTACAGATGAACCTCCATTGCCTTGCCTTCCTAACCATGATCTAAACTCATCACCAAGAATAGAAGCTGATGCAGCCTCAAGTGTTACCACCTCTTTTAAATTTGCCACAGTAGTGCCAGATCAGGCCAAGAGATTGGAGAGTAAGCTTCCTGCAACAATGAGTCCCTCGCGAGAAAAAAACTCAAGTGGAGAAAATGAGAAAAACGATTTAGTTGTATTCAAAGAAATCAAAGCCAATCAACACAACTCAGAAGAGCTCTCGTGTAACATTGTAGACTCATCTTCTGCCGTCATTTCTACACCATTTGAGGGAGAAAAAGATCTAGCCAGGCCAGAAGAACAAGGCATTGACCTTAATAAAACACCACTGCAGAAACCTCCAAAGAGAAGAAAGCATAGGCCAAAGGTGATTGTGGAAGGCAAACCAAAAAGGACTCCCAAGGCTGCAACCACAAAAAACACCAACCCCAAGGAGAAGTCAACTGTAAAGCGGAAGTATGTTCGCAAAGCTTTGAAAGAGCCAGCAATTCAACAAACAGATTCTGCTATAGAGACTACACCTCTCAGCTCTGCAAAGAGGAAGTATGTGCGCAAGAAGGGCCTGAATGAATCAGCAGTTCAACATACAGATTCTATCAGAGAAACCATAAATACCCGTCCTGTGAAGAGAAAGTATGTACGCAAGAAGGGCATAAATGAATCAGCAAATCAGCATGCAGACTCCACAGTAGGGATTACACATTCCAGTGCTGAAGCTGGTGCAAAATCATGTAGAAGAGAATTGAGATTCAATTTGGAAACTACCACAGATGAAAGATACAGTAATGCAGCTGCTCAGGAGGACATGCTGAATAAAAAAAGAGGGACTTTTAATCTGAACACAAGTCTTCAAGTGGCAGATTCAAGCACTACAACTTCACAGATGAACCAGCAGAACAGTTTACAGGTTGAAAGCAAGCAATCAGGTGCTACAAGTAACCAGACACCTCTCATGAACCAGATGGGAAGAAGTTATACATCAATTTCAGAAAGACATGTGGTAGCTGCTGAACTAACTCCAAGAAAAATCATGCACATGGAGAATTTAAACGTCAATGCGAGAGATGCACAAGGAATTGGTCAAGTTGTCTTTCTAGAAAAAAGACCAGAGCAGACTAGACAGATAACATATCAGAATACCCCTCAATCAGTACAAATGATACCATTATATTTAATTGAGGGTAGAGGATCCAAGAGAGAACACCTTCATATTGAGAAAACAAACACTTGTACTTCACATCCAGTGGGCTCATTAGATGATGAATATTATCAAAGCATTCCAGGCATGGGATGTTTGGAGGCCCAGAAAAGAAACAAAACAGAGAATGGGACTCAAACAAACACGCTGAGTATGTCGTCATGTGTTGCAACAACTAAATATCCTGGTGAGTGGTATGTTCACCCAACGGCTTCACAGAACCTTCCAAAGCAATGTATTTCATTTAACCCATTTTTACACCTAGAAAGGACAGGAGAGACTAATGGATTGGCTCAAGTCCATAACTCCCTCTCCCCCACCGCAATAGCAGTCTGTCACAACCTTTCACAAACCCCTCTCAAAACAAACCATGCATCTGATAGCCAACTGCAACCTGAAACTTGCAACACTGAAATGTCGAGAATACAGCAGATGTCTGGAGCTACTGTGTCAATACCAATTCCATCTGGAAAGGGTAGGATGCCGCAACAACCAAAGGATATCTTGAAAGAACATCAGCAGCCATCTGCAAAGAGAAGAGGTATAGCATGTTTAGCATATATTATAAGTATAACGCTTTAAGGGTTCAGATAACTTACTAAATGTTCTAGTCACCACAATTACAGCAATTACAGCAACCACTCTTGACATCCAATGCAGGGCGACCAGCAAAGCAGAAATTCTCCTCTACAATTGAAGAAGTCATACACCACATGGAGTGCCTCAGTCTCAATGCAAGGAGCAAAAAAATAAAAAACAAAGAGCAAAATGCACTTGTGCCTTATAAAGGAGGTGGCACACTTGTTCCCTATGATGGGTTTGAATTTGTCAAAAAACACAAGCCAAGGCCTAAAGTAGACCTTGACCCAGAGTCAGACAGAGTATGGAAACTGCTGATGGGAAAAGAAGGAAGTGAAGGCCTTGAAAAAACAGATACAGGGAAGGAGCGATGGTGGGAGGAAGAGAGAAAAGTTTTTCATGGGCGAGTTGATTCATTCATTGCAAGAATGCATCTCGTTCAAGGTAAAAATCTTGTACTTTTTCCCAACATATTCAACACTATTACTGAATTCAACAGCAGAGAGAGAGAGAGAGAGGGAGAGACATGTATATTATTTGTGCCCTCCAACTTGAGAACGAGTAGTCCTGCTATGCTGCATCCACTCACAAACATACAACTTCATACTTACCTGAAGAAACAGAGCATTCATATTGCAAACATATTGCATTTGTACATGTAGAAGTACAAGTGTTTGTTTGTTTACATATGCATGTGTCCCTTGCAAATGCACAGAGACATAACATGGAATGTTGCAAATGCAAAAGCGCTGTCATGCATGAAAAACAAAAGCACAATTCAGAGAAGAATTATTTCACTTGGAAGAAAAAGTCATCAGTAAGTTTCCCACTACTAATGTAAGTTTGTAGTAAAACAGAATCAGATATTGCTATCAGGACAATATAAGAATGGAACTGCAAAATGTTTATGCTGCCTCCTCAGTGCAGATAAACATGGAAACCAGTGTACTACATTTCCTCTGAGTTTTTAAGTTGCTAAAATAACCTACTGGAAAGATTCAATTGAGTTACTAAATTGTTCAAAAGTTCATTAACACATTTTGCTAATGCTTTCTGAAGAGAAAAACTAGGTGATATATAGTCACAAGTTCTGCAGCTCACAGATCACACATCTAATCCCTCAATGTTATACCAAGACTGAACAAACAATTTTATTCCCTCTTTAGTGAATCAAATAGATAGTCACCTGCATGCATGAATTTAAATAACATTCTTTGCAGGAGACAGGCGTTTTTCAAAATGGAAGGGATCGGTTGTTGATTCAGTAATAGGAGTTTTCCTTACCCAAAATGTTTCAGATCATCTGTCAAGGTAAATTTGACATTTGAGCTTAATTTCAAGACTAGATGAGCCATGATAATTAATCTCTATTCATGAACTGAACAATATTGTCAACTACATTCCGACCTTGCAGCTCTGCCTTCATGTCTCTAGCTTCATTATTTCCTCTGAAGTCTAGGAGCAACGCAGCTTGTGACAGCCATAGGAAAGGCATCATGGTTGAAGAACCAGATGTCTGCATGCAAAACCCAAAAGGCATCATCAAATGGAACAGCAAGGTTAGGTATCCACTCTACAACCAAAGCCCCATTACACACCATGGATCAGAACCACAGGGAGAATCTGAAACTTGGTGTATAGAAAGAGCAAGCATGGTAGGGGCACAAAGTCACAGCCTGGAGGAAGAATTTGTATCATCACAAGATTCTTTTGATTCCTCAACTGTCCTAGAAAATGGAGGAGTCAGATCCTACTCAGGCTCCAACTCTGAAACAGAAGACCCTCCTACTGGATGTAAACCTAGCACAAGTCATGGTTTATCTTTCGTGGATCATTTACAGATGGAGAGTCCCACCTTGCTAGAAGAATTTGATGGCTGTGAGAGTGGAAGTTCATTGTTTCATGGGGGATCCAGGCATGAAAATGAGCAAACAGAAGGTATACAGAACACGCAGCAAGGAGCTGGATTGGAAAGATTAGGTAATCTGAACTGCTTTTCTCCATATAATAAGCAATTCAATTACTGCAATCCACAGATGCAAGGGAAAGTGGTTCCATGCAGTAACTATGGGTTGCACCACATGACTTCACAGTCCAATACACAGCAAGCAGAAGGCTTCAAATTGCACAGTGAAGATTCCATATCTTCTTGGACGTCAAATTCTTCCAGATTCGACAAAGAAAAGGCTGCAAGCTGCTCAAGCAAAACTTTTGGACAAAAGGCTGCGAGTGTGGGTAAAAAAGCTGGCAGACAATACGAGTTGCCAAGGTATCAAGAAGCTCCACTAGCAGTCCAACATTCTCTCTACAGAAAGCAATCAATGTATGAACAAAGCAGTTTTCAGCCTTACCATGAAAATCAAGTTAATGAGAGGAATGAGACCTTGCAATGGCAAAGCATGTCAGCTGGTGGACCTGTAAATGTTGCCGAAACATTGCCTGAGAAGCAATACAGTTACACAGAGCACATCTCGAATGTCCCCAGACTCACAGAAAACATTCTTGATTTTGAGAGGATCACTTCTGTGAATAAGCAAACACCCCTAGAAAACATAGTGGTTGATCCAAATACAAAGGAGAAAGTACATCCTAATAACAGGGAAAACCTCAAGTCAAATGTAAATGCCTCAAAAGCTAGAAAAGGAAAAGTTGAGAGTGAGAAAGCAGACACATTTGACTGGGATAGTTTAAGGAAGCAAGTGCAGACAAATGGAAGAAAAGAGAGGACCGAAGACACAATGGATTCCTTGGACTATGAAGCAGTGCGATGTGCTGAAGTCAATGAGATTTCTGAAGCCATCAAAGAAAGAGGGATGAATAAAATTCTAGCAGGACGAATCCAGGTATTTTAGTATGTTTAACCTCAAGCCTTAATAACCTTTCTTTCCTCTTCAAATGGCTTTGTGAACTGTTCTCTTACTCATGGTGGATTGTGTGAACTCAAGGCACAGATAAAAGATGTTAATAATGGTTGCACAATATTGCAGGAATTCCTAAACCGACTGGTAAGGGAACATGGAAGCATTGATTTGGAATGGTTAAGAGATGTGCCCCCTGGCGAAGCAAAGTAAGCCACCCCAAATATTAGAGTTCCTAATCAAAAGTATTGATTATTCCAGTATGTCAATATGAAGCTACTCATAACAAAATTTAAGCAAAAGATAGCAAACAATTGATCAAATGTCATAATATGTTCCCCAGTTTCTGAAATATCTTTATTTTTCAGGGATTATCTGCTAAGTATTCGGGGGTTGGGGTTGAAAAGCGTGGAATGTGTGCGGCTCCTAACACTTCATCATCTTGCGTTCCCAGTGAGTTTCATGTGTAAAAAACAGATAATGTTGAACTTACAAGAGATAGCAAATTTGTACAATTCAAATTATTCAATTGCCTGTTTGTAAAGGTTGACACAAATGTTGGGAGAATAGCAGTTCGACTCGGATGGGTCCCTCTCCAGCCACTGCCTGAGTCACTGCAGTTGCACCTGCTAGAACTGTAAGTATTATATGTCACAAAATTGACACAAAATTTTCTAGTTCACCAAAAATACTAACCAAATTCCCTCTAGGTACCCAATACTCGAGTCAATTCAAAAATATCTCTGGCCAAGATTGTGCAAACTCGATCAAAGAACACTGTAATCACATGACTCTTCCTTGGAGCCATTCTGTTCATTGAAAGCTGTACTCTCCATGCATAAAGATCATGGGTTTTTTTAATTCAGATAAGATTTGTTGATTCCCGTCTTTTTTTATGGGATTACAGGTATGAATTACATTACCAGATGATTACATTTGGAAAGGTATACTCATTTTGGCACTTGATAGCATATTAATCAGAGTACTATTTGTGATTAAGCATCTGAAAAGCATCAAAATACCCGTGCTTTAACTTATGCAGGTCTTTTGCACAAAGAGTAGACCCAACTGTAATGCATGTCCCATGAGAGCAGAATGTAGACATTTTGCAAGTGCCTTCACAAGGTTTGCATATCTTCTCTGTTATACTGCCAACAGCATGTAACAAATATTATGCTAGCCATCAAAAAATATGATTTTGAAATATAAAACATTGCAAGGCTGACCATTTCAGTAATCAATCACATGAAATAAAATTAGTGTGGTATAACTTATAAATACTACAACTAGAATAAAATACACAAAATAACAGATGGTTGACGGGTCACTTGTAGCAATAAAAGTTAGCGAGGAGGAAAATTAATTGCAATTCGTAATGTCATGCTATGCTAATTTTGTAGTGGTTGACTGCTCTCTCGCAGCAACGAAGAGGTAGGGTAGTGTTTCAATCAAAAATACATGATCTATGACCCAAAATTATTCACGATCTCCGAATCAGTTGCACATGAGGGGCCACAATTTTACTTCAGTTTAAGACAAGATGTTTGAAAAAGGAGTTTTTCATTGAAGACAATCCTTGAAAAACACATTTTTGTTTCTTATATTGGATACGCATGCATTCTTGCCCGGGCCATAGATATATAAAGATTTTTACCAACTCTTCCAGGCTAAAAAGTAAATAATGACCATCCCATCTTCGATCTATCCTAGTTGTAGGAGGGGAAAACGAAGGAAAAGAAAATTTAGTGTTGATAATTGCTGAAAGAGATCAATGGATGAGATAACAAGAGATCTAAATAGACAAGTTAAATTTCATTTTCTTAAAACCAAGTACCTCATTTCTTAATATGCATAACAGGCATACTTTTGATTTTTTTAAGCAAAGGAAAATATGTGCTGTATTTGATGCAGTGCAAGGCTTGCACTACCTGGACCAGAAACAAAGGATATAGCAACTTCAACCGTTCCCTTTATGCCTGAAAAAAGCCCAAGCATAGTCATCAATCCCATGCCATTACCTCCACCTGAGGACAACCAACATAAAAGCGTGGGGTTTGATATTGGCAGTTGTGAGCCCATAATTGAAGAGCCAGTAACACCAGATCAAGAGCAGACTGAATTAGCAGAGACTGATATTGAGGACTTCGGAGAAGATCCTGATGAAATACCCACAATAAAACTCAACATGGAAGAGTTTACTGAGAATTTACAGAATTATATACATACAAACATGGAGCTCCAAGAATACGATATGTCCAAAGCATTAGTTGCTTTAGATCCAAATGCTTCTATCCCCACACCCAAATTGAAGAATGTTAGTCGCCTCCGGACAGAACACCAAGTGTAAGTAAAATCTTCTCATAATCAAGGTCGGAACTGAGTTCCTCCACCTTTTTAAGTTTTTTTTTTGTCCTTATGCTTAATAGTTATTTTATCAAAGCTACCCCCCCACCCCCAAACCCATAGACACATGATTCAATTTTCTTCTGCTCTATCGTTGCTCATAACCAATAGCAGAATGATTTACTAGTAACATACATACAGCTCAACAAATAAAAGACAGATTCATACAAAACTATATAAGTTTAGCAAAAATCATCTCGAACATGTGATAAGCCGAACCAACTATGGGCACCATGCACATCATGCAACAGTAGTACTTGGAAATGAAAAACAAATTAGTTGCTAAAAAACCAGAAGACCCCAGGTATCTAAATAATGGCAGAAAGCCAGATTTCAAACTCACAGCCTGCTCCATTAATTAGTATAATAGGTTGAGGGGAAGTTTGGACAATGGATGAGGTCCTAAATGATGCAACTCACTTTGTGTTGTCGTGATGTTATGCAGTTATGAACTTCCAGATTCACATCCTCTCCTTCAGGGGGTTAGTTTTCCTTCCATTTTTTAACGTTTTTATTCCCTTGAAACTACATGCTTTATTTAACAGCCACTTTATAGAACTTGCAGATGGATAAAAGAGAACCTGATGATCCTAGTCCATACCTTCTAGCAATATGGACACCAGGTGAGTACAAAAACTGTGACTTTCAATGGTTTCAACAGCAACTAAAACGAATTTCAGACTACCTATTCTGTATTTAGAGAACTAATTACTGTTGGAGCATGTTGCAAAGCTTCAGGCGTGTTAATATGATTTACCAAAGTAGCAAGCATTCTACTTATATGATGTGACAAGAAATAGTGAATGCTCCTCTCACGAGTAAAAGATGCCACTCCCTTGAAGTATTACTAAGCAATATCTTATTATTTAGGTGAAACTGCAAATTCAATTGAGCCACCAGAACAACAATGTCAGTCCCGGGAACCAAACAAATTGTGCAGTGAAAAGATATGTTTTTCATGCAACAGTATCAGAGAAGCTAATGCACAAACAGTAAGAGGAACACTTCTGGTGAGTATATCCATCTTTGTGGTACATAAATAATCACCGTGGAAGCCCCAGAATTCTAGTTAACTAAATGTTTTGCATACTGATATTTTTATTACCACATATACAGATACCTTGTAGAACAGCAATGAGAGGAAGCTTCCCACTGAATGGAACATACTTTCAAGTGAACGAGGTAAAACTAC